TTTATTTGAGCCAGTGTGAGCCCTGCTTATGGATGATTGTTCATATTGGGTAAAAGACCCCTATTGGTTTTGGGGTCACAACGTCAAAGGTCAAGGTCACTATTACCTTTAAACTGAAAACAGTTTACCATAGCATAACTTTAGTTCCATTTGGCCCACAATATTCAAACTTCATAGGATGATTGTCCATATTGGGTAGAAGACCCATATTGATTTTGGGGTCACAAGGTCAAAGGTAAAGGTCACTATTACCTTAAAACTGAAAACAGTTTCTTGAGCATAACTTAAGGTCCATTTGGCCCACAGTGTTTAAACTTCATAGGATGATTGTCAATATTAGGAAGAAGACACCAATTAATTTTTGGGTCAGTGTCACTTTTACCTTAAAACTGTAAACAGTTTTTGCTCAATAATTTCAGTAATAATTAACATACAGCTGTGAAATTTTATAGGATGAACAGCCATGTCCAATGAATGACCCATATTGATTTTAGGGTCATAAGATCAAAGGTCAGGGTCACAATGACCTTAACGCTAAAAATTGTGCTTTCTGGAGCATAACACAAGTTTCATTTGGCTTACATTTATTTGTGTTCAAACTCCCTAGGATGATCGCCTATAAATTAAATAAAAAATCCATATCTATATTGGGGTCACAAGGTCAATATCAAATGACCTTAATATTGTAACTATCAAACTTTATAGGATGATCATTTATATCGAGTACATTAATTATATGCCTTAAAAAGTTTGCTTATATTATGTTATATGCCACCAAGGGCATATTTTACCCAGTTTTTTATGTAAATAAAATAATTAAAAATAATAAAATTATAAAATGACAAAAAGAAAATGCAAATAATAATAATTATATTTCCATGTATGAATGTGTGTATGTTATCTATTATAATGTTTTATGATAAATTCTTTATTTTCAGATTTAATATAATGTTTTGAAATCATAATGATATTGTTAATTACCTAACTGCTTATGTGTGAAAAGCCATAAGGCATATTTTTAGTAAAGTTTATCTAAATACTTAAATATCACATATGTCAGTCTTTTTGACACTTAAGAAGATTATTTCACTTTTAAAAATCTTTTACTCTTATCAACACCTTTAAGTTTAGGTGCTATTTAGTTATAATACTTTGTAGCTTTTAGCAATTAATTCTATGAGGAAATTGCATAACATACAGGATATGTTTTATACCTTTTTTCATGAGATAATTTTTATCCAGATAAGCATCATGTAATACTTTTCTATTTTTTCTACTTGAAAACTACTGGTTGGAATTAAAAAACAACTTCATACAATTGTCAAACACAATAAGGGGAAGTGCAGTGCACAAGAACCATAACTCTATCTAAAGTAATTACAGAGTTATTGCCCTTTATTACTTTTCCATTGCATTCTTTTGTCTGGACCATAACTTGAAGACTAATTGTTGGAATTCATTATAACTTCATACAATGGTCAAGCACATTGAGAGGAATTGCAGTGTTTAAGAACCATAACTCCATCTTGACTTATTACAAAGTTATTGCCCTTTGTTATTTTCCTTGTCTAGAGCATGACATGAAAACTACTGGTTGGAATTCAAAACAACTTCATACAATGGTCAAACACAATAAGGGGAAGTGCAGTGCACAAGAACCATAACTCCATCTTGACTAATTACAGAGTTATTGCCCTTTGTTACTTTTCCATTGCTTTTTTTGTCTGGAGCATAACTTGAAGACTAATGGTTGGAATTCAATATAACTTCATACAATGGTCAAGCACATTGAGAGGAAGTGCAGTGCACAAGAACCATAACTCTATCTTGACTAATTACAGAGTTATTGCCCTTTGTTACCTTTCCTTGTCCAGAGCATAACTTGAAAACTACTGTTTGGAATTGAATACAACTTCATACAGTTGTCAAGGACATTAAAAGGAAGTGCAGTGCACAAGAGCCATAACTCCATTTTCCTTGTCCGGAACATAACTTAAAAGTTACTGGTTGGAATTCAAAACAACTTCATACAATGGTCAAGCACAATAAGAGAAAGTGCAGTGCACAAGAACTATAACTCCATCTTAAGTATTTATAGAGTTATTGCCCTTTGTTCCTTTTCCTTGTCTTTCTGGACTTATTACAGAGTAATTCAATAAAACTTCATCAATGGCCAACCACATTTAAAGGAAATGCAACATACAAGAACCACGAATATCTTTAATTGCCCACAACCATAACTCAATATTTCAATTCTTTTACAAGGTATTCTGTTACTAGTAACATCCTCATTTCTGAAGCAGTCTTGTGGGGGTATTAATCACATTTAGTGATGGTTCTAGTTTAAATTAATAATACTTGAGAATAATATATATAGAGAGACAAAAATATTAAGTTAAGACAGAATTAAAAATTAGAATCTTTAGGGTGACGGAATTGAGAATTAGAACTTTAAAGAATTAAGAATCTTTAGGGTTATTAAGACAGAATTAGAACTTTTAAGAATTAAGAGTCTTTAGGGTTATTTAGACAGAATTAGAACTTTTAAGAATTAAGAATGATTACAAAGAATTGGAATTTTTAAGAATTGTTAGGAACAGACTTGGGATCAGAATTAATGTAAATGTGTGTTAAAAGTATCTTGGAAACATTTTGATAAGAGACATTGTGGACTTAATATATTTTTATTAAAAGGAACTTTTAGAAACTTTGTATGAAAAATAATATTATTAAACTGTGACATAAAGAAAATCAATAAATTGAATAAGTAATTCGGAACATTCGTGTTCATTTTCATTTCATCAAAGTTATCTACTATCACACTCTACATACTGATAGTAGAGTAAACTATGTGACCGACTGCTTAGGGTTGACACTTTATATTTTGTATCGGGACTCAACTTAGACATTGGCTAATTCCCCACAGCTTATACCGCATAGCTCTACCGGAGGTCTAGGTTCCCGTAGAGTGTTGCTGTTATTAGTGGAGAAGTTGTGATGCGCAGTAAGGGCCGCCGCAACCCCAGCACATTGTAGCAGCAGCCAGCCCAGCCCCTAGGCAGCCCCCCGATCGCATATACCCCTGGCTTTTTACCATCCATCCGTCGTAGCATTTTTACTTACAATATAACAACTTGATGGTGGTGCTTTGGAAACAGCAACTGTATATATATATATATATGAAGGTTCTTCAGCTATAAAAGAGGATTGCTCTTTGAAGGAGGTAATACTTTATTTAATTCCCATGTGTTACAAATGCTTCATCCTTACTAAAAAAAAATTTTTGGGCATATAATGTTCCTCCTAGCAGTGCTTTTGTTTCACTTTGAACTTTGTCTGGGACATAACTCTGAAACTATATGAGATATTAACATAAAATTTTGGAAGTGTAGTGCAAAGGAACCATAATTCTGCCTTGCCTAATTTTAGAGTTATTGCCCTTTGTTCATTTCTATAGTGAACTTTGTTGGGGCATTGCTGTGAAACAACAAGAAACTAAGATGGTAGATAGATCTCATTTATTAGAAGTCCAGTCCAAAGATCAGTTACTCTGCCTTGCTTAATTTTGAATTTTTTGCACTTTGAAGTTTGTCCTGGGACATAACTCTGAATCTACAAGAGGTATACTTTTCTGTGTCCAAAACCTATTCGGGGAACATCACCCCGTTTAAACCAGGCTCTTGTTTTTAGCTCACCTGAGCATATGCTCAGGGTGAGCTATTAGGATTACTCTTCGTCCGTCGTCCGTTGCCCGTTCACACTTTTAAAACGACATCTCCTCTGAAACCATAAGGCTGAAACCTTCTAATAAATGAGATCTATCTACCATCTTAGTTTCTTGTTGTTTCACAGCATAAGATCATAATGAAACTTCACAGGGATGTTCCTTGTGTGAAGCCTTAACAAAGTTGTTCAAAGAGTTCCATTCCATGCAGAACTCTGGTTGCCATGGCAACCAAAGTAAAAAACTTTAAATATCTTCTTCTAAAAAACCCAAAGAGCTAGAGCTTAGATATTTGGCATGAAACATCTTCGAGTGAGTATCTACCAAGTTTGTTCAAATAATTATAAAAGCCCTGGGGTCAAAATTGGCCCTGCCCCAGGGGGTCATTGCTTTTCCCTATATGCATATAGTAAAAACTTAAAAAATCTTCTTTTAAAGAACCCAAAGAGCTAGAGCTAAGAAATTTAACATGAAACATCTTCTAATGGGTGTCTAACAAGTTTGTTCAAATAAAAGCCCTGGGGTCAAAATTGGCCCCGCCCCGGGGGTCATTGATTTTCCCTATATGCATATTGTAAAAACTTAAAAAATCTTTTTTGAAAAAAAAACAACAAATAGCTAGAGTTTAGATACTAAGCATGAAACATCTTCAAGTGAGTGTCTACCAAGTTTGTTCAAATAAAAGCCTTGGGGTCAAAATTGGCCCTGCCCCGGGGGTCATTCATTTTCCTTATATGTGTATAACAAAATCTTAAAAAATCTTCTTTAGAAAAACTCAAATAGCTAGAGTTTAGATATTAAGCACGAAGCATCATCTAGCGAGTGTCTACTAAGTTTGTTCAAATAAAAGCCCTGGGGTCAAAATTGGCCCCGCCCCAGGGGACATTGATTTTCCTTATACGTGTATAGCAAAAACCTAAAAATCTTTTTCGAAAAATCCGAATAGCTAGAGTTCAGATATTAAGCATGAAACATTTTCTAGTAAGTGTCTACAAAGATTGTTCAAATAAAAGCCCTTGGGTCCAAACTGGCCCTGCCCCAGGTGTGTCATTGTTTTTAATTATATGTGTAAAGAAAAAACTTGACCAGCTAGACCTTAGATGTTTAGCATGAAACATCTTCTAATGGGTGTCTACCACGTTTGTTCAAATAAAAGCCCTGGGGTTTAAACTGGCCCTGCTACGGGGGCCTATATACAGGTGAGCGACTTCAGGGCCATCATGGTCCTCTTGTTTCTGTTAAATACTGAGTGAATGGGAAATTTATTTAATTCCAGCCAACAAGAGAACTTACGCCAAGTTTCACCAAAAAACTCTCTGTCCTTTCTGGAAGACCAGGTTAGTTAAAAGAATTATTTTTGATGATATCTTTTTTAGTTCTGTAACAAATTTTTTTTTACTATCTAATAGGTCATACCTAAATTTTATTCGGACAAGAGAACACGAAAATTTACCTTGTACCACATGATTTATATTTGCCAGGACAGAGGACCAATAGATCTTCGCACAGACTGAAAAAAAAATCATTAGACAGAATGTTGGGTTTAATTATACCCCCTGTACAACTAAGTTGTGAGGGGGGTATACTGGAATCAGCTGGTCTGTCCGGCCTTCAGCACGCTCTCATGCACAGTAATAATATGGCTAGAGGGGCAATAGCAGAAGGGTTTTACGGGACGCATAAATTTTGACATGTACGCATATAAGTTATCCACTTGCGTCCAAGTGTACGCGAAGAAATAATCCTAGACAATAGATATTATTGTTTTTGACCCGATACGATTTTTTCTCTTTCTTCTCGAAGCTTGCAAAATTCCAGTTAAAATCTAATACAGCGAGCAGAAAATGCTCGCATTTGTTCATTTTTGAAGTTAACATAACTGAAATCTACTGCGCATGCTATTAAAAGTGCCCACTGCAGAAACTGATGACGTTTACCGTGCAAGCTACAGTAACTGATGACGTTTACCATAAAATCTATTTTAGGTAGCTGTTTTTGGTATTTCTGTGGCTATATTTAGACAGACTATTTATAACAGGCAATTACTATTGGTTAGCGTATCCAATGTCAATCTACCAGTTCGGCGAATGTATTTTGTAAAATAAAAAATGCTGTGGTTTTTGCAAACTTATTTTTATGGTGTTATAAGAAATTAAGTCACTGGGTATGTCAATTATTGTTGTTGGTGTAATAAATATAATGGCAGTCAATGAATCTACTAGAGTGAATTCCAGTTTTGAATTTATTCTACTATACATGTATATTTAACTAAATTTTCTTAAAATTTTCACTGGCCCGAACTATTTTTCACTGGCCATGGGCCACCGGGCCAGTGCTGAATTTGATGACTGTTATGGTTTCGGCGAACTTAATTTATGAGGAGGTGTAAAAGCGCTTTTGTCGGCTTTGTGTTATATGATATTTTTTTTAATTGCAACATTCCGGTACATTGTATTTAGTTGACTGGTCTGTAAAGTCATCTGTTATGTGTATACTAGTACAGCTAAAATATTTAAAGACAGATCAGTAGTGAGTTTTCAGTCTATTGGTGTAATCACCTTATCAATCACAAAATATGCTACTAAAACATGACATTCACTAAGCCTGGGAAATAGCACATGATATTTAAATATTGTAAAGGGCTGTAATAAAAAACCAAATGAATTAAAAGTGATAACAGATCATGTACTACTTACGAAACAGTACAATATACATGCATATTTCTTACAGGGTAAATTTATGATTTTGAGCAAAATTGAGTGGTCTTTATAGTCTTTTTCAGTGAATATAATTTTGGACCCCTAAAATTTAGGCCTGGACTCCTACTTTTCTAGACTATGCATCCACTGGACCCCTAAAATATCAAAGAGATGTAAAACCCTGCAATAGGTAACTCAACAGTTCTTTCGCTTTGATGTCATTCATTCCGTAATGTTTTCATGTGGCTGTTTTCTTTTTGTCCCCCGCCTTTTCGAAGAAAAAAGGGGGATATAGAAATAGGCTCCGTCCGTCTGTCCGTCTGTCCGTCCGTCCGTCTGTCCGTCCGTCACACTTTCGTGTCCGGTCCATAACTTTGTCATTTATGAAAGGAATTTGAAATAACTTGGCACAAATGTTTATTATAATAAGACGATGTGTCATGCGCAACAACCAGACCCCTACCTCCAGGGTCAAGGTCACACTTGCTCATTCAAGGTCAAAATTGCCTATTTGAGGGTATATGTCGTGTCCGGTCCATAACTTTCTTATCTATGAAGGGATTTTGTAAATACTTGCCATAATTGTTCACAATAATCAGACGATGTGTCATGCGCAAAAACCAGTCACCTACCTTCAAGGTCAAGGTCACACTTTGAGGTCAAATATTAACATAGTTTGTTACAGGGTATATTTCGTGTCCGATCCATAACTTTCTTATCTATGAAGGGATTTTGTAAATACTTGCCATAATTGTTCACAATTACCAGACGATGTGTCATGCCGAAAAAGCAGTCACCTTCCTTCAAGGTCAAGGTCACACTTGGAGGTCAAATATTAACATAGTCTGTTACTGGGTATATTTCGTGTCCGGTCCATAACTTTCTTATCTATGAAGGGTTTTTAGCTCGACTATTCGATAAGAATAAGTAGAGCTATTGCAGTCACCCGAGCGTCGGCGTCGGCGTCGGCGTAACCACTTATGTTAAAGTTTTTGTAATAGTTCAAATATTTTCAAAGTCCATAGACATATGGCTTTGAAACTTTGCACACTTGTTTACCATCATGACCCCAACCTGTAGACAGGAGGAGGTAACTCTATCAAGCATTTTGACAGAATTATGCCCCTTTTTCGACTTAGAATTTACGTTAAAGTTTTTGTAATAGTTCAAATATTTTCAAAGTCCATTGACATATGGCTTTGAAACTTTGCACACTTGTTCACCATCATGACCCCAACCTGTAGACAAGAGGAGGTAACTCTATCAAGCATTTTGACAGAATTATGCCCTTTTTTCGACTTAGAATTTACGTTAAAGTTTTTGTAATAGTTCAAATATTTTCATAGTCCATAGACATATGGCTTTGAAACTTTGCACACTTGTTCACCATCATGACCCCAACCTGTAGACAAGAGGAGGTAACTCTATCAAGCATTTTGACAGAATTATGCCCCTTTTTCGACTTAGAATTTACTTTAAAAGTTTTTGTAATAGTTCAAATATTTTCAAAGTCCATTGACATATGGCTTTGAAACTTTGCACACTTGTTCACCATCATGACCCCAACCTGTAGACAAGAGGAGGTAACTCTATCAAGCATTTTGACAGAATTATGCCCCTTTTTCGACTTAGAATTTACGTTAAAGTTTTTGTAATAGTTCAAATATTTTCAAAGTCCATTGACATATGGCTTTGAAACTTTGCACACTTGTTCACCATCATGACCCCAACCTGTAAACAGGAGGAGGTAACTCTATCAAGCATTTTGGCAGAATTATGCCCCTTTTTCGACTTAGAATTTACGTTAAAGTTTTTGTAATAGTTCAAATATTTTCAAAGTCCATTGACATATGGCTTTGAAACTTTGCACACTTGTTCACCATCATGACCCCAACCTGTAAACAGGAGGAGGTAACTCTATCAAGCATTTTGGCAGAATTATGCCCCTTTTTCGACTTAGAATTTACGTTAAAGTTTTTGTAATAGTTCAAATATTTTCAAAGTCCATTGACATATGGCTTTGAAACTTTGCACACTTGTTCACCATCATGACCCCAACCTGTAAACAAGAGGAGGTAACTGTATCAAGCATTTTTTTTACTATCAAGCACTAAGAATAGTCGAGCGTTGCTGTCCTACTGACAGCTCTTGTTGTAAATACTTGCCATAATTGTTCATAATAATCAGACGATGTGTCATGCGCAAAAACCAGTCACCTACCTTCAATGTCAAGGTCACACTTGGAGGTCAAATATTAACATAGTCTGTTACAGGGTATATTTCGTGTCCGGTCATAACTTTGTCATTTATCAAAGGAATCCGAGATAACTTGGCACAAATGTTTGTTATAATAAGACGATGTGTCATGCGCAACAACCAGACTCGTACCTTCAGGGTCAAGGTCGTACTTGTTCATTCAAGGTCAACATTGTCTATTTGAGGGTACATGTCGTGTCCAGTCAATAACTTTCTTATCTATGAAGGACTTTTGTAAATACTTGCCATAATTGTTAACAATTATCAGATGATGTGTCATGCGCAAAAACCGGTCACCTACCTCCAAGGTCAAGGTCACACTTGGAGGTCAAATACTAACATAGTCTGTTACAGGGTATATTTTGTGTCAGGTCTATAATTTTTTCATAGATCAAAGGATTGTGAAAATACTTCGCACAAATAGTCACTATAATAAGAGGATGTGTCATGCGCAACACCTGCATCCCTACCTCCAAGGTCAAGGTCACACTTAGAGGTCAAAAATTAACATAGTCTGTTATAGGGTATATTTTGTGTTGAATCTAGAACTTCTTCATAGTTCAAGGGATTTTGAAATAACTTGGCACAAATAGTCACAATAATAAGACGTTATGTCATGCACAACACCTGCTCCCCTACCTCCAAGGTCAAGTTCACACTTAGAGGTCAAAGCTTAACATGATAGATTTTTATATTCCGTGTTTCATTTTATTTTTTTAACAACTTTATTGTTACATTTGCAGATCTAGCATTGATCATAATTTTGGACTGAATGTCCTGAGATCCATACCTCAATCTTTTGAAATAGCAAAATTTTATGATTCATATAAAACTCCCGGGGCGGGGGACGTTGGTAACTCTGTTACAAATTCTTGTGTTTGGATAAAAAGAACAATAGAGAGAACAATAGAGTAGCCACATTATTACTGTCCTTTTAGAACGTTCGTTCAGCCATCAGGCCGACCTTCCAGTCGTCCGTCGGCTTTTCATTGCCAAATAAGTTAAGATTCCTTTGACCCACAGTTTTCATAAATGGTATTTTGATTGTACATGATAAGTAGAAGATCCCTATTGATTTTGAGGTCACTGAATCAAAGGTAAAGTTCACAGGGGCCTTGACTACAAAAAGCTTGTCCACTCAATAATTTAAGATTCCTTTGACCCTCAGTGTTCATATTTTGTTTAGAGATTGGTCTTGATTAGTAGATGAACCCTATTGATTTTGAGGTCACCAGGTCAAAGGTCAAGGTCATAGGGGTCTTGACTAAAAAAAGCTTTTCCGCCCAATAACTTAAGATTCCTTTCACTTTTTGCATGGAGGTTAGTCATGATTAGTAGATGACCCCCGATTGATTTTAAGTCACTGGGTCAAAGTTCAAGGTACAGGGGCCTGGATTAAAAAAAAGCTTGTCCACCCAATAACTTAAGATTCCTTAGACCCATAGTCTTCATATTTGACATGGAGGTTAGCCATGATTAGTAGATGACCCCTATTGATTTTGAGGTCACTGGGTCAAAGGTCAAGGTACAGGGGCCTTGATTAAAAAAAAAAAAGCTTGTCCACCCAATAACTTTAGATTCCTTAGACCCATAGTCCTCATATTTGACATGGAGGTTAGCCATGATAGTAGATGAGCCTTATTGATTTTGAGGTCACTAGGTCAAAGGTCAAAGTCACAGGGGCCTTGACTTAAAAAAGCTTGTCAGCTCAATTGCTTAAGAATGCTTTGGTCAACAGTCTTCATATTTGGTATTGAGGTTGTTAATGACTAATAGATGACCCCTATTGATTTTTAGGCGTCTGTATCAAATGTTAAGGTCACGGGGATTTTTACTATAATAAGCTTGTCTGCTCAAATGCTTTTCTTAAGAATGCCTGTCCGCAGTGTATTGATTTTGACATTTTCACATTTGAAGCATGTAGAATACATAAGTTAGCAATGCACTGGCTTAGTAACCTCAGATTTGGCAGGGAGGTTGTCCTTGAGCTCTAAATGGCCACTGTTAATTCTGACAAAGTGGTATGAGGGGGTATTCATGCCATGACATCGGTAAGTTCTAGTTTAAACTAGTATCTAGATTTTGAATAAAAACACTGTTCTTTACCTCAAATGGTTCAGAATTTCTAAAACATAGGTTGTAAATTGTCAGCCTTTATTTATATTCAATATTGGCGCCGCCATTACTATTTCCTTGATGTTACAAACAGTGAGCATGAAATCTACTGTCAAACGTAAAAAAATCGCCATATTTAAACCAACTTTCATCTTTTTTCTCGCAACCACTAAATTTAGGGACTTTTTATTAAAAGCATTTGAGCCGTGTCAACTCAAGACAAAACCAACATAATGGGTTTGCAACCAGCATGGATCCAGACCAGCCTGTGCATCCCCGCAGTCTGATCAGGATCCATGCTGTTCGCTTACAGACCCTATAACAAGTTAAGAAACTGATAGCGAACAGCATGGATCCTGATCAGACTGCGCTGATGCCCAGGCTGGTCTGGATCCATGCTGGTCGCAAACCCATTATGTTGGTTTTTCGTGACACGGCTCATTTAAGTTTCTCCTGCTATTGATAAAAATTCTTTTGCAATTAGTTCTAGGCTAATCTTTTCACTAACTGACCTGATACCACTTTCTTTAAGTGGGATGACTAAATTGATATGCGTTTATATGAACATTATCTTTAGGTGGGATATGTTGAAAGTTACTGTTTTAGATGGGATGATTGAAAAGATTGATTTGAAATGTTAGTATTGCAAGGTGGGATGGCTGAAATGAAATGAATTTAAATGTTCCAATTTTACGTGCGATATGTTGAAATGTTACTATTTTTAATTGGTCTCAATAAAATAATGTGTGTTTGAATATTACTACTTTTAGGTACGATTATTAGAATGGAGGGAAAAACTTTTACATCTAGATATGGCAGTGACAGCACCCAGCCTGGTACTGGAAACTTACTAAGGTAAAAAATATGTTTCAAAAGAAACAATTTTTGATACAATTCTATCATATTATATATATTGTTATATATATATATATATAGGTATGTGAAAAATATTTGCATCTACAAAATACCTTTCAAAAACACTGGATCCAAAGAAGGATACAAGAACGTGGAAAAAAAACAATAAATTTGGAGAAAATAAACGTTCATACAGTGCTAAAGTATAAATACCCAAGTACTTTCGGCGTATTATGCCTTCATCAGGGGTGTATTACATGTATAATGTGCACACAATCGAGCACAAAATCTCAATACGTGTGTACTGTATAGTATCAAAAATTGAACTATATATATATATATTGTTACATAAGATTAATTGATTCTTTGAAATTCAAATGTTAACTTTATGTCTTGGATATCTTATAATATACATTTGTATTGAACCTTAAATGACCTGTAATCACATTTGTATATCAAAATTATTAACAAAAGTGAACGAAAAGAGAAAAAAATACAAGAGGTAATTTGAATATAAAAATATACATATATTATTTTTTTTTTTTTGTCAGGGTGTATGTTGGACCTCGAGAGTGTGACTTGAAGTACAATGATAATTTGTGAGTTAATAAAGTGTTAACAATATAAAAAGTGATAATATTGTGTAAATTAATGGATAAAAAAGTGAATAAAACCATAAAGCAATGAAATTAAGCGTTTTCTTAATAAACCAAAAATTAATCATTTTATTATATTCAATTAAAAAGTAACAGTGTTAAATTTCATGTATTTCCTTTTTTTTCTGTCTCAGCATTGTTTTCACTTTTAACTATATTTTAACTCACTATTTGTCTGTTTACATATGTTTTTTCAGCTATGGCTTTGAGCTAAGATATTGGTCTTCCTTATATGGATACCTGAAATGTAAAACTAAAGGTTCATCTGTCGGCAAGTGATTTTATCTTACATTTAGAAGTTGTTTGCATTTTATCTTACATTTAGAGGTTGTTTGCAATTTTTCTGTCCTCAACATGTCAGAAAATCTTATATGCTGTTACATATATAACACATATTGGTACGATGTTGCATAATTATATTAAATTAATTATAAATACATATTTTTCTTGAATATACATGATATAGGCTAATTTACCTTTTTTCCATTCTCAAAGTCTGTAGTTTTAAAGACAGAAATAACTTATCGTGTTTTAATTATATTGATTTTCATGATTTTGAAATTAAAATTCTCAACGGTTAAGAATCACTCACTGAAAAAAACTTACCATTAGAGAAACTGATTTGAAATGCTAATATATGTCTTAAGAAGTACTTTATAATAATGCTATTAATTTTCAGGATTTCACAACGTAACTTACATTGTTTCAAGCCCTTATGGAAGGTATGTTCTCTTTTGTTTATTGATATTAATGGTCATTGACTTATGTATGGTCTGTAGTTAATTAACATAAGGACAATAACTTGGCACTTTGCCCAGAAAAACTCAATTATATGTCTATTTATAGTAACATACTGTGATGATTCTGTTCCCTCTTTTTAGTACTTCAGTAATCATGTACCATTAAAATACATGTATCCAAACTCTCCGCAGCGGTTACTTCCCCTGATCAGTACACAAAACACTGCCACCACAAGTAAATTCGGTTGTCAGAGAGCTGAATATATTTTTTTTCACTTTTAATTTTAAAATAGAATACTTTATATCATTTTACTTTTCTTTCATTAAAATATTATGCTTAATGTACAAGAATGTAAAAAATATACATATAAAAATTATTTTGTAAACATAACGAAAGATATTTTGACTATAACATCCTATGTATAGTAAACAATAGCTGAAGTTAGACAGTTATTGAACGATTGCGTTTGATCCGGTACTTTTTTTAAAATGTAAGCAAATTGAGTGTTTTGAACATATTTTATTTGATAAGGATGTAATTGTAAATCTACCAGTTGGATATGGGATCTTTGGCGTTCTAAAACTGGCTGCCATGTTTTTGTCACATGATACAACTATTGTCACATGGGTTTCAGTGGTGGCAGTGATTAAAGTAACAAAGTGTGACGTAACCACTGTGAGGAGTTTGACATGTATCCTGATGACGGTATCGAAAGACTGAAACCGGTAGATCCTTGAATAAACCAGATTACAAACCATCCTAAGTTTGATGTTTAACATGTATTCTCTGTCCTTCTCTTGATTTACTTGTTTATGAATATAAATGATTTTAAATAAATCTTCAGTTAACATGACCTGATTTTTAAAGTTTTTTTTTATATGGAAATGGTAAATGTTATATTAAACACAACATTATAAACATTGTTGATTAGCAAGTTAGCTTGAATATTGTCTAGGTATTTTGAATACAAAATGTACGTCCAATGTAGACCTGAAATTTACATCATACGCTTCACATATAAATAAGACTTATGGCCAGTGCCTACATGTTTTACTGTATTTCTTAATTATTATCTTTTTCATGTTTTAGATCAATGGTTGTTGCTGATTTGTATCATGTATCTTATACTGATGAAATTTATATGTTTCAAACATATACAGGTATTATATCATAAATTATTTGATAAACTAAGGTGGCTTATTAGTTCCATCTTGCATAAACTTGATATAAGTACATGGCATTATCAAGGTAAAAAATCCCCCGTAATCACTGTTTCTATTTACCACTCAGTGGACTTTAAATTAAAAATGGAACACATGTTATGAAAGTGATGACGATTTGATTTCATTGAAAATATAAGACAAATATATAAAAGAGAACTGCATTTAAAGATCCTGTATGTTTTGTGATTGATATTATTACTGTGTGTATACCACACTTGCAAAAAATTATATATGTATATAATTATGCAAATAAAACAATTTTCAAACATCGAAGAGTATGTAAAATGTGTACTGCAAATATTTGTGCACATTATATTTAATCAATAAATTACATGCATTCATTTCTTAATGGAAAATTTGACTAAGAATTTAAAGAAAATAAATTTCTAATTACCTCCCTTTATTTACATGAAATGTTAAATTGGGTAATATCTTTATAATCAATGCTTATTGGAGCTTACAATATTGACAAATCTTAATTTGAGCATCATATTTATGAAATAAAACCATGAAAAAATTGTGTTACAGGATCTTTAATATTTTTGTTCAATTTTCATGTTTTACAGGGGATATTTTTTATTGTATTATAGCTTCAACTTGGCTTGGCTTTCACTGAATGATAAAGCAGACAAGAATAGAAGTCTTTAATTATGATTATATGATTATTTTATGATATTATTATTAAACAAAAGTAGTATAAAATATTCATAAGACAAGATATATATATATATTGTATGATTTCAAGCCATTAAAGTAATTTACACTATGAATTCATATTATAAGTGAATCTAACATTTAAGCATAGCAAGAATTATTGTACCTGAATGTAAATTAATACAACATAACTTACATTTATATACTTACTTATGTAAGTCAATTATTTTAGAAAGGTATTTTTTTGTTATTTTTAGTTTAAGTACATAAATTTAACAGAAGACTGATAGATAAAATAAGTACACAGTTTTTAATGCAACAAAATTAAGAAATAAGAATATATACAGTAGAACTTAGGTAAGTCGAAGTTGAATGGACTTGCGTAAAAGCTTCAACACATCGGGACTTCGACTCATGAATCAGTCTCAATTTCATGACAAAATTTTGAGGCGTTGATGTATACAAGCAAGTTATAAAAGGCGTAACAAAAGGGAAGGGCAATAACTAAACCAGCTTATAGTAAAAAGATCACATGTGATTATCACGCAGCACCGGGTCACGGAAGTTCTCATATGATAGTAGTTCTTTCTGTTTACTTTCAAATATCACTGTGGTTATTTGAATAGTAACAGTTGAAGCTTTTTATCACACATTTTTACGCATTCAAAAGCAGTTTGAACACATGACTACATAATTAACATCTGTCACACAAGTTGATAGGAAATCATTTTTCACGGCTAGGAAAAAAAAACGTGTGAAAAATTAAGAGCTATTTTTTTGCTTTTATGAGCTTATTTTGCTTATGGACGTTGGTCCAGGTGGTGTTTATGAGCTCATTTGCCTCATAAACATCAAATTTTGGTACGTCCGTACTTCCCGAAATCTTGTGAACGCAACTTCTCTTAAACCGGATGGCAGATTTTGCTTAAACTTCCAGGGATGAACAACCTTAATGTGTAGATGGTAGTAAAGGAAGGAATTTTTGCTGCAACTTAATTTAACAGAATTATGGCTCTTTGTTGATTTTTTCACTATATACAGTACTGGACACGCAAAACCCGCACAATTCGCGTATTCGCGGCGAACTCTCATGCTTTATAACGCGAGCGAATTCGCGGCAACTTGAGACAATCGCCGCGAATTCAACTCGCGGCGATTTTGCCGTGAACATTTGCCGTGATTTGCGGAGAATAATACATGTTCATTTGTATAATAAATGTAGATCTATTTATAATTGTTCTCTGTGAACTTGAAACCAGATATACATGTACAAGTACGAAAATTAATTAGTAGATCTACATGAAGTTGTATCAAGAAAACATAAGACATAAATTCAAGCATGGTCAAATTACCGATCCTGCGTAAATATTCCCGTACGACCTGGAAGAGTTATAGTGGATCACCGGGACATTTCGTTCTCTCGGGTGATCATTACTCAATTTATTACACGTCTGTAAAAAATATAAACACACGCAAGATTTGTCTCCTATAATTTCTGAATGGCGGATATTTGCACCCCTGTTTTAAAAATGTTAAAATATTTAATTGTTAGTTACCGAAAATTATCGCCGATTGTTGAAATTCCATAGCGCTAAAAGACACAAAGCACTCGCGCAAAAAGAAGCATCCATAAATAAAAGGAATATAATGTTTCCATTGTTAAATAATAAATACAAAATTTACACACGAAATGACCTCTGACAAATGACTGGTCGGCTCTTCTGAAGAATCTGTGAATCTTTGATGTTTACACACCTGTAGTTGTTGCCGAATCATCAAAGAAATGCCGACACTCGATTGACTTCCACCTCTCTTTTATATATCAGAAAATAACTGTCATTTCTTTTTGTCAAGGAATGATTACACATGTTTAATTATTGCTCAAGTAAAAAAAAAAAATGTTGGATATTGATTGTGTCAATTATTGACATATTATTAATCGTAAGTGCATTTTGATTGTGATATTTTATTTACATTTTTATGATCTTGAAGATACTGTGCAATACTTGTGTCTGCTATCAAAACAAAAATGCATATGAATTCCAAAAAATTATTTTTTCGGTCAATTTTATGACAGAATCCCCGCTGCTACCAGAAATGTTTTATTGCATGGGCTTAGTATTAAATCTCAGTCGTCATCCATAAACAAACGAACATGTACCCCAAAGCACATTAAAATTTCTCATGGTAAACTAGTGATCATGCAGTACTGCGTGACGTAAGGAAAATATCTTCCCTGGTTGGTCGCTATTTATGTAAATACTTTAAATAGTAACACCCTAATTTTATGCACAGAATGCCATCATGAATGATCACTCGTTACTTTACATATTAAATGTGTGATTTAACTCCGATTTTATTTTTGTTTTCGAGTGAATTTTTTGGGTCGAATGCCCTGGCTGATTTGGCGGAAATAAAAAAAATCTGATTTGCATCTTGCTACTCATCACCTACTCATGCACCTGGCATTTTTTACTCGTGAAATCACGGATTTATATTACATATAAATCCGTGGTGAAATTGAAGGCAAAGAATGTCTCAATTTAAGTGATAAAACTTTTACAATTTTCAACAATCATAATTAGCGTATTAGACGTAATAATTAGTTACACCTGTGAATCGGTGCTAAATGTCGCTTTCAATTGTTCTAAAAATAGAATATGTGCGAAAGTAAACAATGGATTTTAATTACATTTGTATTATTATCAAAATAACAATTGGACAATTTGTTATCGTGCGTTCTTTGATGTTAAGTACCAATTACCTTTTGTAATTTCAATTTCGTTTTATTGTTAACTAATTTTCACCAGCACCTGATTGCTTTGTTTTAGTATACAAAATGTATACGCTGTACATGTTCAAATGCTAAATATTTATAAATATACATGACATTTACAAGTTTTTTTAAAGTTTTCAAAATTAAAGACCACGGGAATGACGGCAAGTAGTACTTTCTAATACAATTATTGCTGAAGATTCGCCGTAAATTACGGCGATACATCGCGGCGATTTTTCGTGAACCGCCATGAAATTCGGCGAACTTGCACGTGGCGATGTTTTACCGCGAATTGTCCCGTCGCGACATAGACTACACTCGCGGCATAACGCGACTTTTGCGGGTTTCGCGTGTCCAGTACTGTACCATATAGAAATTTTGTGTACGCAACTCCTCTTAAACCGGATGGCAGATTTTTCTTAAACTTCCAGGGATGAACAACCTTAATGTGTAGATGGTAGTAAAGGAAGGAATTTTTGCTGCAAGTAAATTTAACAGAATTATGGCCCTTTGTAATTTTTTCACTATATACCATATAGAAATTTGTGAACGCAACTCTCTCTTAAACCGGATGGCAGATTTTGCTTAAACTTCCAGGGATGAACAACCTTAATGTGAGATGGAAGTAAAGGAAGGAATTTTTTGCTGCGACCAAATTTAACAGAATTATGGCCCTTTGTTGATTTTTTCACTATATACCATATATATGTTGTTAGTGGGGGCATCCGTGTCCTTTGGACGCAGTTCTTAAAGTTTGTTTCATTTTTACAGTCTGAAAAATACATTCCTTCCACATGCAAAACTGTTCTTGATGACATTTGGGCATATTAAAGTATCCTACGAGCAATAACTGCTGTATGCTTTATGAAAAAATTAAAAGCAATGACAGCCATCAGCTCGTAGAACAAGTAAAAACCACCCAGCGTTCCTGAGCAAGTTCCAAGTTTTCCATTTTCCTAGCTGCTTTTTTTGAATGTTTTCACATCTGTCAACACTTATTTTTTGTCTGTTACAATCCTCAAATATGTTTTCTTTCTTTTAAAAAGGTGTATGACTAACAAATCCAAATGCTATCCCTCTGTATCAAACACAATTATTTTCCTCCCAAGAAATACACAACTTTTAAAAAATGGCTGCCGCTTACATTTAACAAAGCCAGGTCTAATATAAATTCGCAGTAAGTAACAGAAATATGGATGGATGGTTGGACTTTTACTCCTACAAGAATTGTTTGTTTTTTATTATTAAAACAAGCGATAATTCATTTTTTTTTTAATAAAATAAATAATATCACTGTCATTTTTAACGTTGATTGTCGGACTTATTTTCAGCTCAAGACTTCTTTTTTTTAATGAGAAATTCCGACTAAATGAGGCTCTCAATGGGGAAAACAGATTTTAATATTTACGTTAATATTATGGGAAATTTCGTTTAAACTTGTTTTTTAGCATGAAATAAAAAGAAATTTAGTTTATTTGTTGTGTGAGATGTAATTTTATTTCATCTCGTGAACTTTAAAAACAGTATTCTCACTCATGGCTATGCCACTCCTGAGAATACTGTTTTTAAAGCCACTCGATGAAATAAAATTTAATCATACACACAAACAAACAAATATCCTCTATATAATAAACAAATTTGTAAAACATTAACTACAGTCATTTAACCAATACACTATACACAGTTGTGTAACCAAATGTTATTTTTTTACTTCAGCCATTACAAGTATAAGTCATTCAGTTGGCAGTAAGGCTGGAGGTCTGACACTTACTATTTACGGAAATCATTTTGATGAGAGAGCACCTTATTCCAAATTGAGGGCTTATGTAGGAGGTAAAACACCATTATTTTTACTACTTATTAAATAAAACTACAGTTCAAATACTACATTTCCCTTCAACTGACTACAATCTTATGTGATATCTTACAAACGATTCCTTCCTTTTTTGTCAATTTCCCCCATGAAGCAAGAGGAGACTATAGTAATCCCCTTTATCTGTCTGTCTGTCTGTAAGTCTATCTGCTTTTTGTGTCTGTTCCATATCTCCAGCATTCTTAGAAGGATTTTCACGAAACTTGGCTCAATTTCAGCTCACTGAGATGATATGCCATCAATTTTAGCTCAAGGTCAAGGTCACACTTAGAGGTCAAATGTTTTAGCAAGTGTTTTTGTCAGCAAAGCGGACTCTTATTTTCTCTTACATCGCTAAAAGAACAATGGAGACAGCAAAAGCATAGCCACATAAGTATCAATTTGTGAGAATTTTCATCCTTCTGCCTGTCTGTCTGTCAACTCCATACTTTTATTCGCTGAAAATTTTTTGAAATAACTTGGCACAAGTGATCATCCTTATGATCAATATTTTGAAGAATATATTTGGGTCTATTTTTTTAAACCTATCTTTTACACAAAGGCGAAATGGTTAAATTTCCTTTAGTTTGTTAAAAATTTGCCGCTGTAATTTGGTTTAAAAATGATTTTTAGGAGTATGTTTTACTGTCTAATCATACTCAGTTGCATATTGATAAGAAAGCTATTTTCTATGTAGATTTAAATATGAGCCGTGTCATGACAAAACTAACATAATGGGTTTGCGACCAGCATGGATCCAGACCAGCCTGCGCATCCTCACAGTCTGATCAGGATCCATGCTGTTCGTAATTAGTTTCTCTACTTGTTATAGGGTTTGTAAGCGAACAAGCATAGATCCTGATCAGACTGTGCAGATGCGCAGGCTGGTCTGGATCCATGCTGGTCGCAAACGCACTATGTTGGGTTTGTCAATGACACGGCTCATATGTATTGTTTCAGACACTGTTTGTGACGTCAAAAATGTCACTGACGAATATGTAGAATGTATCGTGGCTGCAGACCCACAGTATACAGCATCTAAATTTGAGGGAAACAGGGGTGTTCATTTCGAGTACTGGACATGGACAACAAAAGGAGAAAATGACCTGGACAATATTTTGTCCCTCAATAGCTCCAATCACCGCTACAAATTCAAAAACGATCGATGAAACGTATTTCGACAGTGAAAATTGGGGCGATATAACTGCTGCACACGCAAGCAGAATGACAACATACTTTCGACCACCTCACCGTGGAGAATACCAATTCCAACTTTATGCAAATAGTGGAGCTAGGCTATATGTTGATGGGGTATTTTAAAAGAGCTAGCTTGAGCTAGGTTTTTAAAAGATTCATTAATCCTCATTTTCTTTTATTAATTATGGCCAACATAAATATTTGACAGATGGCCTATCACTTATGAACATGACACATTAAAAGTGGTTAATTTACGTCTTTTGTATGTCTAGGTGTGTATGTTTTTATGCCCCCGCCATATAATGGCAGGGG